TGGAAGGGTCGGCTCATAAAGTATGGCGTTGAGGAGGTGCTCATCACACACCCCGACCGACCCCCACATGTAGACCCGGCTCAACACTGGGCCGATGCCCTGATTAAGTCCAAGTGTATCACAAACCTGTCGGCCCTACAAACTGCTATCAATATTAGGACGATGTTTATGCAGCACTTGGTGGACGAAGTAAAGGTGCTGGATAGTGTTTTCGAAAAGGTCATAGCTAGCACTAAGCCTGATGTTATTGTTCTGGATCAAATGAAAGCGATACCCGCGGTACTTTTGTCGGGTATACCCTGGGTGGCCACGTGTAGTTTCAATCCATTGATTTTTCTCGGTGATGAAGTTACCCCACCTCCCAACTCAGGTATGTTAACTGACCTGTTTAATTTAATTAAGTTATATTTTTAGTTATTAAATCAAAATTGATAATAGTTATGAATATGACACTAGAGTAATTTTTAATTTTTTTTATAAAATTAATTAGCGCTTAACATGTTATTAATAGTTTGTTAATAATGGTAAAAATGTAATTAGATTTAATTGTAATAAATATTAATTGATTACTATATAAGATTTATAATATAAAGTACAGTATTAAGTAATAGGAATTACATGATAACTTGTTTGTAAATAATATAATATTACTTTTGATATAAGTTTAATTTGTATCACCAAACATAAACATACTATCACTTCCTATAATATGATTAAATTCATTGGCAATTTGAAAATAAAATACAGTATTCCTTATTAACAATATAAAACTAATATCTAATAAGCATTTTATATTAATTAAATCACAATTTTATTTGAAACCTCCAGATAGATACGGGTAATGTAAGTTAATAGGCTGATACTGTACAGAATATAATACATTATTATAACATAATAATAATATAATAATACCTAGCTCTCTATAATAATAAATATAATAATACAGTATAATGACACTATGCGCTTAAACGCTTAAATTATATAAATATTTATATTACATTAAAAATAAATAGATCTTAAAATAAATATATTTTTTCTAACGACAAGGTCTGCCCGCATCGGGTCCTGTAAGCGAGTGGAAAGCCTTCACGGAAACGACAAACTCAGCTCAATATCCCGTTTGGAAAGCTTTCGATGAGTGGGTGCAGTCGAAAGGGTTACCCCCTCTGGCAAAAGACAGGTTTATTTACGACTCACCCTATCTTAACATTTATGGCTATCCACTGGAGTTGGACTATCTAGACATCAGACCATTGCCCCCAAAATGGTATCGATTTGATAATCTTAAGCGTACGGAACAACAGCAGAAGTTTGAGATACCGGTGCCATTGAGGGGCAGACCAGGAAAGTTGGTGTATTTTTCCATGGGATCAATGGGTGGTACGGATCTGAATCTTATGAAGAGATTAGTGACTATTTTGTCGAAATCTAAGCACAGATTCATTGTATCGAAAGGACCTCTTCATGAGGAGTACGACCTACCGGTCAATATGTGG